GAAGGGAAGGGAAGGGAAGGGAAGGGAAGGGAAGGGAAGGGAAGGGAAGGGAAGGGAAGGGAAGGCTAGACCATGGCATATAAAGGAGAAAATATCCTGTGGAATATGACTGTACAGCATAAATTAAAAGAGACAATAGATAAATTATATCTCACCTCTCCTCACGATTCTGTCCCACACAGACACGTCCTCCATGTCGAGGAGTTGGATTGCTGCAGGAACGCTGACGAAATTGAAAGCCTATTCCACAAGTCGTGCTACAAGGCGACCAAGAAGTCCACGTTGTCCAGCCTCCATTTCTGGTAGAATAAAAAGCTCAGGCTCTGTCATCTGTTATACATAGCGAATGGCTGATTAGGTGTGACTGACAACAGAATCTGGCATATTAATATTTCTGTAGAAGTCATTTTTACTGCATTATGTTCCATTTCTACAGGAATACTAAACCAAATTAACGGTGCTCTGATATTCCAGATTCCATGCTTTGTAATCATCAACTGCTAAAATTACCTCCTTACAGAAGAATTACAAAGCTACGAAGATATTCAGTTGCTTTTGGTCACTTTGTTCTGGGTAAACTATATATGCAAACTTCTCTATCATTGTTCTGAAACTAAATAACGTATCATTTTTAGGGAGATTAAAATGTCAAATTTTGCTACTTTTTCTGAAAGGAAAGTGATTAAAGCTTGGAGGAAGAGGTGGCTGAGAGAATACCATATTGCTCTCTATGCCTACCTGAAAGGAGAGTGTAATGAGGTGGGGGTGGTTTCCTCTCCCAGGCATTGATCTCTTAATTTTATCAAGGGACAGAGTGGAAGAAAATGGAATCATGTTGTGTCAGGAGAGATTTAGATTGGATATTAGGAAAAATACCTTCACCAAAAGGGTTGTCAAGCACTGGAGCAAGCTGTCCATGGAAGTGGTGGAGTAACCATCCCTGGAGGTATTATAATACTGGCAAATGTTGTATTTGGGAACATAGTTTAGTGGACTAGGCAGTGCTTATTAATGGTTGGACTTGATCTTAAGTGTCTTTTCTAGCCTAAATGACTCTATGACACTAAAGTAGGCTGTAAAATGCATTAGTTCTCAATTTTAACAGGTTATTCTGATGTAAATTCCTTGCCTGTAATGTAACAAAAATGATAAGAGAGTTCACATGCTGTAGCTTGCCTTTATGAAATTCTAGCAAAAAAAAGATGATGCACTTCAGCTGTTATCCAAAACTTTAATTGGCTAGCTGGCAATTTTTGTACTGGTAGAACACAAACAGGAATAAAGAAAAAGAAAACTAAACTATATTGATCTTCTGATGTTTCATCATAAAAGTAAAAGTTAAAACAGTGCTCTACGAATATAGCAGTGTTAGCAGAAGATGCTAAAATAGTAGTGTAATAATGCCAAAGGTAGAATGCGAATCCAGTCCCAATTCACATTCCAAATTCCCTTCTAAACCTGACAGTTGTTTGATTGTTCAATATCTCACAGCATGTTTATATTTTCTATCATTCTCCTGACCTGCTGTTATATAATATATATTTATATTTATTAATATAATGTATTATTAATGTATTATTAATAATTTTCCTAAAATAGACAATTTTCATTTAGAGCTTCCAGTTACCTTGTGCAAAAATGTAATCAGTTTTATTTACTATCATGATGTGATTGTGATGTTAAAAAAAAGACAAAAACCAGAAAGAATCACTGAAAATAAGCATAATGCATCAGTATATGTTTCATCTTGCAATTAAAGTATGTATAATGTATGTGTATAATGTTTTAAACATGAACTTCTGATGCAGTTCCAAATACGTAATATTCTGAGTCTCTTCGAAATTATCTGCTCTCACTGATTTTCTCTGGGAGTGGTTAAGTTCCTGAAGAAGACAAAAGAGTAGCTAAAGAGTTCTATACAGCCTTATAATGGAATTTGCTATCATGATACAACTGAAAGATATAGTGAAAACATTTCTCCAAGGAAGAAAGGGGGACTAAGATATAAGTAATATAAGGTTTATATTAAGTAAGGGTAATATAAGATGTCTAAAAAAGTAAGCCATTCTAACTTCCAGAAAAGAAAGTTGTATGAATTACAGAACAGAGAAAAAGTATTATACTTTGGATATTATCTAATTCAGAGCTTTTTGTTAAAATTACCTGAGGACGTTATTTGGTACAAATGCTACAGCATTTGAAATGACTCTGCTCTCTGACTCATTCTCTCTCCTACAAAGTCTGAGAGAAAATTTCTAATATCCTATTTGCCCTTTCATGCACAAAATAGGATCGGTAAATTTCAGGGGAGATTTCAAATGGTAGGCTTTATTCTGATTAAGTTAAATTTTTTTAAATGATAGAACCTGAAATTGCCTTGCATACCTGGAACAGTTGGCAATCTCCATGGTTGGTCCTTCACACAGCCATCCTCCACATTGAGGAGCAGGACTGTCACACACACGCGTCCTGCACAAGCAGGAGCCAACACTGGCACCATCAGTGTGGGTGCAAGGTTTCCACTGTGACCATGTTCCAAAATGTCCATCCACTGTCAGATTCCTCATCTGGAAACAAACACAACAGAAAAGCTTACTTGGGGCTTGAGAGTTCCTTCACACAACCTCTTTATTCTGCTGTGCATGGAGGTTTAGCCTTTATCCACGAACAATAGCAGCTTCCACTGGACACATACATCTTCCAGGCAGCAATGTCCCTTTATAATCCCTGTAGCTGCATAATTTACAAAACCTCTGACCAATTTGAGACATTGGATGCCATCACCATAGCAATAATAGAAATCACAACTAACTGTTACCTTTCACAACCATGCTTGCCTGCCTCTCAATTTTCTTCTGGATTCCCTACTTCCTAAAATACTCCAGTGAAAATGGAAGCCTAAAACTGACAGTAAAACCCATGGTCAAAAAGAAGAACCAGCAGAGCATAAGGAAGAAACGAAGAAGAAATTCTTTATGAGGATGACAAGACACTGCAACAGGTTTTCCATGAGAAGCTGTGGGTGGCCAATCTGTGGAAGTGTTCAAGGTCAGGTTCAATGGGGCTTTGAGTAACATAGTCTAGTGGAAGATGTCCTTGCCCTTGGCAAGGAGGAATTCAAACTAAATGATCTTTCAGTTTCCTCCTAATGAAACAGTACTCCGATTCTAAACACAGATGCTGAAATAGTCCACAGTAACAAAACTGGATTGATCAAACTCAAATCTCCATGATGAGTGTCTTTTTTTGAAAACAGATTTTGGAGCATGTGTCATACAGTAGCATTTCATAAGGATGAAATGTGGTTTTAAATATGACAGACACTAAATGGTAAATGAAATTATATGTATAAATCCTAGAAATATCTCCAAAAAAGCAACACGTAACCCTGAATGATGAAACAGTTTCCTCCCACAGAATTCAATTCTCAACACCTTTGGCTGGAAAGTTCAGATCATTCTCATCTTGACTGGAATGTTTCCATCCAGCAGCTGTAACACATTTAATATGAAATCTTCATTGCCCAGCTGAAACAAAATGAGCTAGAAAATGAGCTTTTCTAAAGAAAATGGGGCAGGACATGGGGAATTCATCTCCCAACAAAGACAGATTTTCATAATATACTTTTTGCAAGCTGTTAATCTTGACAAATCTGTGATCCTAAATAGAAACAATGTCCACTTTTTCACTTAAATATTAAGGATTTTGCCTTTTTTTGGCTGCATATAAACTTTCAGTCAAGACAACAGCACCAACAAGTACAGGCTAAGAAGCATTTAAACTCACTCTCAGTAAGAATAAATATGTATCACTTGCAGTCATGGATTTTTCATCTAATGTGTGAGAAGATAACACTTGAATATTTGCATATATATTGAAACAGGAATTAATGTTGTAGATTGTCATAACCGATCTGAAATCGTCTTCCTTTACCGTTTTTAGTATTTTAGCAGTGGTGAGAGAAGTGTACATTTCACAAATACTTTGAAGATACAAGAGATTGAATTACAACATAAGGCATGTTTCCACTGACACTCTGCATGCTGGCTGATTCTTTCCACTGTGGAAAAGATACCATAATTTCACTACTGATTGCAATTACCACAGTTTATTTTTCAGAAGTATTACTTGTGCAAGAACAGCTATGTGTATATTCCGTCAGTTACAACTGACAGAACCATAATTCATCATTTCAAAATCTGTTGGTAGCTATTTATTGAAAATAACTCACTAACCTTTTCTCATGTAGAGTTTATATGTAGAGTTTTGTAAGACAACAGGAAATACTTCCTTTTAAGTGATAAGCAGATTCATTCTCTCTTACACTGCTGGTTTACCAAATATTTATAGTCCATAAACTAACAATTCTATGTCCACAATCTAATTATGCCAGAGATATGAAAATGCCTTTACTGCTTTCTGTTTCTGTACTGCCTCAAAACATCTTTATTGTTGCATCTACAATTACAAACTAAAGCTTGTCTATGGTTAGACAAGCTATCAGTTGTCTATGGTTACCATAATACCTATTAAGTGGCAGAGAAAGCATACATAAAACACAGCTGAAAGCTTGAACTCAGAAAGATAAATAGATAACATATTCTCTTTCTTCTTTATTTTTCCTTGCTTCTGCAAAGATTGTCCCACTGGGGTCTCTGCTGTTCCCCATTACTCACCTGCTCTACCTCTCTTTGAGTATCTACATTTCAGAAGTGATATCAAACAATTTCATCATAGGACTGCAGGGAAGCAAAATGTACCAATGAGAGGCCTTTGCAGCCCTCACCAGAATCCATGCCCATTAACCTATCACAATCTGACCTCACGGGCAAAATCACAGTCAATCAGACCATCTTGGCATGGCTACACTCTGCTTTCCCTACCACCCTGGTTTTGTAACCCTTTCCCTTCTGCAGATACCTTTAGACCTTTCTTACTTTTTAATGTCCTTCAAATATCTATCTTTGTCTCAAGTCTCTCTCTGCAACCACCTCATGTTCCTGCTTTGTGCCTCTGCACGTTGAGTAGAGGTCACAGTTTTTAACTCTGTCAAGAGGTCTTTTTGGTTTGAGGTTACTTTTTGTAGAATTTAGTGAGTCTGTAGAATTTTCTGCAGCTCCTAATGAATTTAGATCCCATACTAATATCTTACAGTTTTTCTCTTTCTCTGAGAATAACTGTTAAAATAAAGCCATCTTATGTTGCATACTTCTGTTAAACAGAACAAAACCAAAACCAAAACCAAAACCACAAACAAAATGAAAATCCTGAAAAACATTTTTAAAAATTATTTTTACCTTCCTTGTAAAAGCTCCTAGAGAATGTCAGCATATTTTTAAGTGATAGATTGCAAGTTGTCCCACTGGAAAATATTTCAAAAAAACAATGAATCTTCATTACCATAAAAATTATTGGATGAATAATAGGGATACATGACCAACTAGAAAAGATCAAAGTGGATACATATGCCAGAGCATTAATTAGTGTCCATATTTATGTACAATTGCTGCACTCATGCCAACTGAAACAATAACCTAAAAATCAAATTGAGAATTAAATCAGGGCAAGATAACCAAAATAACAAAATTTTTCAAAAGTGATCTTCAAAGTCCAGAGATGGTAGCACAGACGCTCATCTATCTCTCCTACTCACCTCTCTCCTCTACCATGACATGCCTATAAGTACTCAGCTGCTGGAAATCAAAAAATGGAAAATTCTACACATGCTGAAGGGTTCAATTTGCAGCCTTGGAAAGAGCTTGGATTGATGTAGTGATGAAAGTACACAGACATTGGGTACAGAAATTATAAACTTATGTTCCTATAGTTATAAGTAAGAATATGCCTAGAGTAGGTAAGAAATTGTATTAACTAAAATAGTTTGAGGTTTAAGATGTAATAGTGTGATGTATAGAGTAAGCTAGAGATCTAGAAACAGTAGTAGAAAAGTATGTGAGTACGTGACCTATCAGCTTATTGGTTAAAAGACAGACACAGTGTGGCAAAATTAAGTAAAGGTGATAAGTTAATAAGTGTAAACAAGTTTAGTTACAACTGTCTATTGGGCTAAAATATTGCTAATATATTGCTGTGCAAAGAAGAAACTCATGCCTTTCTCGAGCTATGGCTGATTTGCTGCTTCTCTAAACCTCATGACTTGAGACTGACGTCTTATCTGGCTACTAGAGCAATAAATCGTTTCAAATCAAGGTGGTCCCATCCCTTGCTCTTCCTCTCGACACTCAGCCATAAGAATAATTCTGTAGGAAATAATTTCTCAAAGGAAACTGGTCACGCTTTTTATCCTGGACTAAACTATTGTATAAACAGACCACTCTCTGATCCAATTTTAGAAGAAACTGGTCATTCATTAATCTAAAAAAATTTCTACAATGTTAAAAAGATCCAAGTAATTTTACTAACAATTAAGATATTGGAAGCAATTGGGAACCAAAAGAGGGAGAGTAGATTTTGAATATTCTCTTATGTTGTGCCTGCAACAGTGCCTTGAATATATCCGGCACATGTTAAGGATGCACATAGCTCAGTTGCCTACAAAATTAAATTAATTACATCTTGGCTTATATATCCTATGAGCACAGCACAGCACAGCACATAAAAATGCTATAAAAACAAATATTTGAAAGCCTCCCTAAGCAAAATTGTAATTGATTGCAGTTTCCCAGAATATTGTGTTACTTTAGAGGAAAGTTTTTATGAAGTTTTCCAATCCGTTCAAAAATGTGAATAACTTAGTGAATAATGCTTTAAGACCATAAAGATGTAAACCCACACTTATTAATTTAGATAGATAATTCTAAAATCTTCCTTATATTATGCAGGCTTCCTTATATTATCAGTCTGCTCAAGGACAAAATTTCTTTGAAGGTTGAAAGTCAACTAGGTCTTTGAGTCTTGTATTAGCAGGATAAGTCTCACAACTATGGATAAATTTCTAAGCAAGACTTAGGTGCTCCCCTGCTTTGACTAGACTGCTATGTCCTATGCACATGTCATAAAACAGATACTAAATAATTGTTTTAACAGCTGAATGGAAGAGAATGGAATTATGCTTTCTAAATTATTCCTCCCTCCACCCCATCTTGGCCTCATGTTCTGTATCTACAAAAGAAAATAAGACCTAATGCCACAATTCAAAGACTAAGCACAGCAGGCTGAATGCCCATGCAAATATCTACAAAACGAGGCATTTCAGTAATCTTAGTATTTTCCCCCAAGTTGCTCCTGATTTCAGCTCAAATGCTAATGCAGATGAATCCAACACAGGCCTATTTTACTACTCCTCTATGTGAGAAGGTGGATACAAAAGACAGAACAAGACAAACATTTTTGAAAAGTTTTTAAAATGTGAAGAAATGTTTAAAAAATTGCTATTTAATGTCAAACACAGTCAGAACACAGGAGTACATTCTCAAAGCCCTCAGAATCACTGTAGTATTTGTATCTATGAGGCTGCTGCAATACATGTAGAGAGCACAAGTCAAAGCTAGAAGAACTATGCTGATTTTGCACATCTCTAGTTCACTAGGAGAGAAAGTGTCATCAA